GCGACTTTGTTGTTCAGCAAATAGAGTTTAGCACCCTCGTGCAGGAGTCTTTTTGTGAGAAACTGGAGACTTCACGCGATGCAACAGCGATCACGCGTCTGAAGGCGCGATTTGCGGATAAAAGAGTGGCGAACGAGCGAAAGGCGCAGGCGCTGAAAGGAACGGTTCGTTCGCTTTTTCTTGGGTCCGCCGAGTTTCACGGCCTGGAGCAGTTCCACGCCTCCGGCAATAAGGCGGACGCCGCCGCGAAATTGCTCGCCGGAAACGTACTTGTGGGTAGCGCACAGAGCCTGCTTTCCGCGGTCGGCGGTGCTGTATCCGGGATCGCATCCGGGATTGCAGACTGGTTCACAAGTGAGGAAAGAAAGAAGAAGAAGCAAGAAGAAAAGCGGAAGAAGAAGCAGAAGGAAGAGGAGGCAGAGCAACTTCGAATTGTCCAGTTTCAAAAAGAGATGGCTGACCAAGCTCCAGACGACGTTGAGGGCCGGCTTCGTACAGCGTTAGAAGTTTGGGAAAAGCTGGCTAATTGGCACGAATTCGCAAAGGCTTCCCTCGAAGGACAGCCGCGGCTGCTGTACAGCTGGGAACGGAGCGCTATGAAGCAAGCAACGGGTACTATAATCCCGGCAGACAAGGATCATTTCGCTAGCGGCGTAACCACGAACGCGTCCTCGGTGAAGAGGATTGCTGAGGATGTGCCATCAGGTAGCTTCTTTTTTTTGGAGCGCACTCTGGCGCCATATCTGGCATCTGCTGGCACGACGGGATCGTCGCTGCTTTCACTTCATAAATCGAAACTGCTAATGTCGCCTCTCGGCGGAGGGCGAGCCTCTTTTCTGCATTTTACTGACAGAGCACGGGACTCGTACTCGTCGAGCAAGCCTCAGTACTCAGAGATAGTAAACGAATACACAAAAAAGGGGCTGCAACACTTGGAGATACTCGAGAAATGGCGTGATGAGATCCGGCACTTTCATGGGAAAGCGACTGTAAAGTCGACTCCAGATGAAGGCGCTGCGGAGGATGTAAAAAAGCGCGAAAGTCTGGAAAAAACGCTGCATAAGGATGTGGCAATTCTTGGCGAGAATCTGCGGTTGCAGATTCACGCGAACGAGGCAGATGCGGTCTATGTGCGTGTGCAGGCAGAGTTACGAAAACACAAGGCGGTGGAGGTTCGGGCGATGGTGGATCAGCTAAAGGAACAGCTAGAGGCTAGTGCTTCATCAGGAGAGGGCTACCGGAAAGGAAGAGGGAGGGTGTCCTTGTCAGCGTCTCCAGCGGAGATTGATGCACCATCGCCAATCACACGCGATGAACTTCTACGCCGTCGCTTGGAGCACGCAGCGAGGACAATCGCGCTGGACCCGACTGTGATTGTAACCCCAGATGGCCAGACTCTGCTGCGGCTACTGATGCGTGAGAGCAGAAACAAGGCCAATCTCGAAGCTCCATCATCTGATTCTCCCTCTGACGCCAACGCGGACCCCTTCAAAAGTGCGAGGTACTCCGCGTTTCTCAAGCTTGAAGCAGGTTCAGGCACTCAACTAACAAAGCAGATTGTCGACGAGACCCAGCTGCAGTTTAAATCTGTTGCACTAGCTGAGGAAAAGTTACAAGACATGGTTACTGCTAGTAAGAAAAACGGGATGGCGCTTCCCGACAACAAAGTCGCCCTCTGGCGAAAGCGTTATGTGGAAATGGAGCGTGAGCGCTTACTTTCGCTTTCGACGGGTCCCTTCATTCTTTGGAAACCTTGGGCTGCCTGGAAAAATGGAGTACCTGCCGAGCTGAACACATTTGAGCAAGGAAATGATGGTAAGATGGGAAGCGTTGAAAACGTGAAAGCACACGTGAAGAGGCTTCTTCTGGCAGAGCCGCCGCCAGGGATTGGTGACGGCGCATCAACAACATTGAGGCCGGGAGAAGTGGAGCTGACCGAGCAGGCACACTTACAAAAAGGAGGCCAACTCGATCCCTCTTCTTTCCGGAAAAGGGCGGGCTCAGACGGAGTGTTTGTTGAAGGTCATGGGACGGAGGATACTTCTCCTGGAGAACAAGGTGAAGATGGCGAGGGCTTTGTGACTTCTACAATTATCGCTGATGAGAATTTGTTTCCCGAAAACCGCTGGGTCGAGGATGCAAAACTTAATGCCTGGAAAAACCTTCGTGGCCACAGGTTGCGACTCTTGAATTTGTTGAATCGGGACGCGTATGGCCAGCACGGCGCCAAGGCGGCGACACGGGAACGAAACGTAACGGAAGGGGGAAAGCACATAACCGCAATTTCGTTGCTGGAATGGGGACAGTCGATTATGTCGCTTCCGAAAGAGTACGCTGACGACAGTGGGCTTTTGTGGTGCTCTCTTTTTGCGTATTTCAGTGGTGCTTGGGCAGCGACTCTGGGCGCTTCACCCGACAGAACTTTTCCGGCCAAGGCGCGATTAAGATTTGACCGCAAATTTGCCGATCCGCTGGGCAGCAGTACTAAGAAGCTCACCCTGGAACAACTCATCTCTTACTGTTTGCGTAAACCGCCCAACGCAGTAGTTTCTAAGACGAACAACATCTTCGGCAAAGCAAAGCGGCTCCTAACGTCCTTCGTCCAGCTATTCGTGCAAACAGATGTGCTAGGCGTCGTAGAAGCGAAGCTGCACGACTATTCAATGCAAGTAAAGGGGCTCATTTCGCTCTTCATGCAGCTATACTTGGAAAGAAATGTGCTAGACCAGAAAGAAGTGAAGCTGGGCGAAATCATTCTTGACGACGGTGAAACACTCGAAGATCATTTTGTCTTGGATGAGAGGGCGAGAGTTGCTTACCTGAAGAAGGCTCTACGATTTAGAAAGCCTTTTCATGAAATTACGCCAGCATCTTCTAGTACTGCGGCACCTTCTAATGGTGCAGCCGCTTCTAGCGGAGATAGAAAACAAACTGGGGATGCGAGGGTTGTGGAAGCGCAGGACGTCAATGAGGTCGAGAAACACTCAATCCTGTTGTGGGATCACCTGCCCGCCGGAAAGTGGCTCTGGCAGGAAAAACGAGGGGAACGAGTCCGAAAGGCAGGAAAGGTGACGACTCCGCCAATAAAGCGACTGAGCAACGAATGGTTCCGCCAGCAAGTGTGGCTCAACCTGGTTTTCGCGGCAGGGCCGCAAAGGGCGGAGGATATGGAATCGTATTTGAAAAGTCGCGCTGAGGAGCAGGAGAGGCCCCAAAAGGCGATGGAGGAACGCGGAGAGCAGGGTGACGAGCCTTCACCCCGTTTGGCGAAAGCGAAAAATCCAAAGCGCTTTAGTCTGCGGCGTACGAAATTTTTGGATTTGCAGAACCTCTTCGATGCTGCAGGGTCGCTTCAGACAGGAGGCGAGGATCTTGCACGGGACCTCGGAGAGACATTGGTGACTTCGGACCAAGACGTTGTTATACGAGTCCCTGTGCGCGGTCCGTCCACATCTGCCTGCAAGACTCCCACTTCCTATTTCGAAGCCGTCGTCGTTCCGCGCTTGATCTCTGTTATAGAAAGACAAAAATACCTCCCGCTTGCGCAGCAGCCACTGAAACATGCGGAGGAGCTTCGAGCGCAGGTCGAGGGCGCATCGGTGGGAGGAGCAAGGTCAGCGAAAATGTTGCGAGAGTTTTTGGAGAAGCTGCGGCAACCACTCCTCAGGGACTTCTACCAAGCTACAAGAGTGCCGGGTGATCTGGACCTTCGAACACTAGAAGGAGACACAGACGCTCTGATGCCCTCGGATGAAGACTTGAGGAATCATATGCTCCAGAAATTCAGCATCAGTGACTGCCGCCCAGATCAGGATGAAGAAACGTTTCCCCATCACGATCAGTTTTTTCGCATCGCTAGCCTCTCCCAATTTCAGAAGCCCGTCGTAGCAGACGAATTTCCGTCAGCGGGGGTCGCCACAAACACACAATTAGTGGGAGGGCAGCAGATTTTCTACCCTTCAGTAAAGATGCTTTTTTACAACTTGTGGAAGAGTGAGCATCTCGAGAAGATGCTGCGCTTCGATGCGACGCCGTCGAGGACTCGTTCCGGCGTCGCTGCGCTTCAGCACCTTGAAGATATTCTGTCAAACTGCCAGGAGTGGCCAGAGCTTCTGCAGCCGGTAGCTGCAGTCGCTGCAGCCGATTTCGTGGACCCGTTGGCGCCAGTGAGAACGCCAGCAAGCTTGAGAAGCCGACAGGATTTCATCGAGGCTCCGCAGGACCGCGAAACACTGTTTCTCCAATCTTTGGCAGCAATGCAGAGCCTGAGGTCGTGGGCCGCGGACGAGCAGGAGACAACAGATAGAGAAGCGCTGCGAAACAGCGTGGAGGAGGATAGGACACTGCACCATGATGTGGGGGATGACACGACGGGCGCTGAGACAAACACTCACGTCTCACGCATTGAGGGCTACTCCTTGACCTTGCGAGCGCTAGTTCTGCCTGCAATTCTAATTGTGCAGACGGAGTATGCCTATAAGTACGTACGCCCGCAAAATACAGACGAGCGGGTGAGTCTCATGCGGTGCTTGGTCCACGCGCAGCGACGTCTAACAGAGTGGCGGGATCAGACGCTGCCGGCACTACGCAAGATCGCGCTGAAGCACTTGCACAAGCGTGAGAAGGCCGTTCTCGTTCTCGCAAAGGCGGTGACCGTTGCAACAGTAGCTCAAGTCGAAGCCCTCGTCAATATTTTGAAGGCAAAACTAACGCAAAACGAGAGCTTTATCCATGACGACTACCTACGTCGCGAGTGGCAACCGGTAGTACTCCAGACCGCAGGCAACTTCGTGGTAGAGGACGCTCTCGCGAAGCTGTCTGAACCATCGTTTCGGTGCCTGTCATCGTCCGCGTCCGCTGGAACTGCAACAGTGCGAAGGTGCCTCCAGACTAAGGATGCTTTGATACACGACTGCCGCCTCATGCTTGCACGAAACTTGCTTCTCGACGTTGGCGACGAAATCAAGGACCAGATTGCGGCAGCTCCACCTGGTGCGGGCGCGAACCTCACGGGCCACGTCACAGTTCACACCCTGCCTCGCGATTTGGCGCTCAGAGCAGCTGCGAAAGTGTTTCAAAGGGAGTCCTTTCGCCTCGCACTGAACCACGGCGTGCACCAGACGCGCGGCGTGAGGCTACAGCCCTGCACTCTAATCATCGGGGAATCTGTACGAGCATTGATTTACGATGACGAGTTTGCACAAGATGAGCTTGAGGAGAGGAAGCGTTTGAGAATGTCTTCAGCCACGGACATAGTCGTTGGCAGCGCATTCGCGATATGCGACGAAACACCTCCCACACCAAGCCACGGGCGCGAAACCTGCGACGAAAACGATGACCAAGTCGTCTCGTTGACCCTTTTCGACGAATACGCTGCGCAGCACAACCAACTCCAGAACCAGGGGCAGGTAGAAACCATCTCGGATGATGACAATGAAAGCCAAGCCGATCCAGGTGACGAGGCCGATCAAATATCACCAGATGCCAGTCACGGACAAGCAGAACCCGCAACGACGCTGCTGTCGATCGTCGCTTTATCTGAGGATGTCCGCTTTTCTGCACGCACGGAGGAAAAAGCGCCCAGTATGGGAAGAGCATCTCAGGTGAAAGCAAAACGTGGCGCCTCTAACGGCCAGCAGGTGATTGCTGCCAACGAGTGGCAACGCGTTCGCACCTGCGAAAGTAGCGGATCAATGTCAAAAGCAACGAGCATCGAAGCAGGAATCCAGAACCTTTTGACCTACTACTTCCAGAATAGTCGTGTAGGTGATCCGAGTCGCGTGACCGGCAAGCAGATCGAGGTGGCAAGTGTATTCGATAGCCGCTGGCTACTGCGATTCGCTCTGCTCCACGTAAAGTGGAATAACTGTGACGAAGCAAAGGAGCTCCTTCAATTCATTAAGAACATGTTCTGGGACCTCTTGCAGCGAGAAAAGTGTGAGGACCTACGCTTTTATGAAGAAGTGAAGGTTGTTCCTCCAGTCATGAGTGCTGGCACACCTTCCGCTGATAGTCCAAGCGACACGCATGGCTTGGGACAGGGTTCCGGAGGTGCTAGTCAGGAGGAGTCCGGCCTTGAGGACTTCAGTCTTACCTCGACCCGCGTGCGGCTGCGGCCTGACCTATGTAAGAGCCCATTCCTGCTTGCGCTCTTTGCTCTGGAGAAGAGTCAGCGTGACGAAAGTATCACGTCAGTCTTCGACAAGATCGCTGGGGAAAAGGAGTTGGAGATGAACTATTTGCGGCTGTGGAAGAGACGCTTCGCGCGCGCGGAAAGTCCAACGAAGCAAGCGAGCAGAGGACGCTCCTCTTCCGACAAAGCTCCAACTCGTGGTCGATCCTCGTCCGCGCCTGCTGGCGCTCGTTCAAGTGGCAAGCAAGTAGACATTGCGCTACGGTATAAGAATTTCCCTTAACTAGACTTTGTGTTGCTTGCTTGTTGTCATGATTATTTAAGTTTATGCACGGTGTCGAAGTAGTTATCACGAAATGGTCGTTAGAGTCAAAATCTTTGTTGATATCCAGAATCTCAATCTATACGAAGGCTAGCCTCATTTTTGATTGCTTCTTCTCTAGAAATGCTTTTCTTGAGCTTGGATAATCATTTCTGATTGGGAGCAAAAATTTGAGGATTGGCTGTCGATAGTTATCTCGATCGTGCCATACCACGGGAAGCAGCTACATCTATAGCGATTTAACTGAAAAAAATGATCAGGCTGCAGCAACAGCGAGTTGCGCGTGCGCAAATGGTATACGAGCGGGAGAAGCTTCGCAGCGAGCTGATGTACAAAAAGCTGGTGCAGACTTTTCATGTCTACAGGGATTTCTTCGCGCGCATCAATGGGTCTTCGGTATTGGAGGCTGCGTCGACGAGGACCCAAGAGAGCTCGGGGGCTGCGTCACATCAATCCCAGCGAGTGATGCTTGTAGACAGGCTGTTGAATGAGAGCGAGATTTCTGCCACGGTGCAAGATCGGTTAACAAGTGGGTTTTTGAGCTCACCTGCGTCTGCGCAGAAAGCCGGCGGGCCAAAGAGGCCACAGGAGTTCAGCCTGGCGGCAAGCGAGCTTGTGACGGAAGTCGTTACTGCTTTCGCGACTTCGGAGAAAAGGCGACTCCAAAGCCAAACTTCTGGAAGTCTACCTTCTGATGACGCTTTTCCTCATGCGAGGCAAGAAGCACGAAGTGATGTTGTTGCCAGGAGGATGCACCTTTTTGATTTCCCATCATTGTTATCTTCCGCAAAAGCGCGAGCCTTGCTTGTACAAGAAGTTTTAAGTACTGAAAAACTCGCTGCGATCCTCGATGTGCACAGTTTCGATCTCCTCGTGCTGCATCACCTGATGAACACGGACAGCAGAAAAAGGGTCGAACAGTGGAGCAGAGTGCTTACCGGCTTCGGAAAGTACCTGGGGGGAGAGCCATCGCAGATGGGAGGACAGCGACGTCTGGGTCCCGACTCTACACTGCACAACAAAAGCAAGAAATCCCTAGTTTCTTTTTTGCAAGAGCATACATGGGGAGTAGTAGCCGTCGCGCAGCAGTCGTCTCTCAGCAGTGACATTCGTGCTGTTCTGCACGATTCGCCCTATAGCAACGACATCAACGATGTTGATCTACTGGAGCCTTTTGTGGTGCGGAAGCGACAGGACTTTGTGATAAGCATGCTGCGCGACTTTGTGGCCGACCTTCCGACCACGCAATCACTCGGTTCATCCGCCGACTACGGAAGCGCACCAAGAAATAGCGGTTTCCATGGTCACCAGGGCCAGACGAGCACTGCGACGCCTTCTCCGCTATTGGCGCGGGTTCTGCACAGTAAGAAGGAAGCAACTCCTGGAAGTAGCATGAGCGCAACCGAGCGCCAGGCGCAATGGGTGGAGAAAAACGTCCGGAGTCTCGCAGTTGTCGAGACCGTCATTGCCGCTTTTCGTGTTGCGTACTGGAACGAGGTTGTGGCATCCGGGATAAGTTTGAGTGCGAAGATGCAAAAGGATGGAGATCTTGATGAGAAAGTAGCCTCGCAAGAACAATTGTTCTTTGCGCAAAAAAGCAGAGTTTTGAGTGTAGCAGGACGATTTCTTGCTTGGGAAACGGCGCCAATAGTGCTGGGCAGTGTCGTCCTCACGCTTCCGCCAATCTCCACCAGTGATTGCTCTACGATGGTGCGTGGAATATCGCATGTACGAAACCGGACGACGGATCCAACAGAGAGTGTTCGTGCGGCTGTGCGCGTAGTGGTGGCCTGTCCACCTTTGGCCGCTTCTCCGAATTCTCGCTTACGCAACTCACAACAAGAAGTCGAGTCATCTTTTCTCGTTCCTCTACCCTCATACAAGAACACGAAGCATCTTCCCGCGTCCCCCTCACAAGGGGATGCGTCGTCCGCTGACGCCAATTTGCTCGGTAGCGTTAAAGGAGCCGGCCCCGGTGAGCGCAGGACTTATGCACAAGAAGTGATGGCCGCATTATCTCGCGACTGGAACGCCTTTGCCGAGACTTCGAAAGGTCCTCGTTCGCAGTCGGCGCAGTTGAAGCAGCTCTGGAGCTCATCAAGAGCTACATTTCTATTCAGCGAAGAGGTGTCATCTATCAGCAAGTTGCGCAGAGCGTTTTCGGTGGCTAATCTGCGAGACCAACTTTTCTACGCGCAGAGAGCCGCTGCGGAGCTTGTCGCTAGGGAGCGGCCGTGGTCTTCATTGATCAACATGGGACAAAAGGCCGAGTCGGACTCGGCACCTCCCTTGCTGCAGGCAGATCAGGATACTGCAGAGCAAGACTTGCGCCTCGAGCTGGAGATCAAGATCGTGCGCGAGAAGCAAGTCGCTTTCCTGACGACGTTGCTGCAGAGCTTGCTCTCCAACGGTGCGACGACAAAACACGACTTCTCGCATTGGAGGCAGGTATTGCCCAAAGTTGCAGTCTTCGACTGAACTGCCAGCCACAACAGTGGGAACGACCTCTCGTTTTGATTTAGCAATCTTGTTGTTGAAGGGTTTGCTATGGATAGGAATTATGCAGCTCAGATTCAATCGCGGAAGTTTATTCATTGGGCATGAGACAGGACTATGGATTAAGTAAGCAATTTTACCATTTCTATTTTTCGACAGTACCTATTGACGCGGATTGATTCAACTTGCATCATGTGTTTGATGTTGATTTGCGCGATCATTCCGTGATGTAAGTAGAGCTCGCTCGTCTGCGGTTCGATGGTATAACTTTTCCTCTTTTTTTTATGTTGAGCCCCGACTGCAAAATTCCTCCACCCCACACAAATAAGAATATGCACAAGAAGCGGATTTACAAAGTGATACTGAACAAGATGTATCTGTGTACCGAGAAATTACCTTACGGACGGAACTACAGCCGAGGGAGACCAGGGAACTCAAAGCAGGCGGACGCGAGAAGCAGCTCTGATTTTGGATCCGAGACCGGTCACAGCCGCCTCTGGCGCAGCGAAGATCACCGAAAACTCTGACATCAGATCAAACCTCTAGATCAACAACTCAAACCTTGAGATCGCAGTATGTCACTGCGAAGATCATCATGATATACAAAGCTGAACTCCATTCGACGACTTTGAATATGAAAGATCGAAAAATTATGCTTCACTAGGTGAAGAAATTAAGTGGATAAGTACCTCCTAATGACTCTGTTTGCTTCATCACAGATGCATATGCACGATGACTGATCACACTCAAAATTCTCCACAACAGACTGACAGGCGCAGGCTTTGGAAGTGGCCAGATTCCTATGGAGAAAAGCAAAGGCGTTAGATGCTAAGTGCAAGACCTAGTACGAAGAACGCCAGAACAAGTTGTATAATTATTGCTTTTTCATCGCGTTTTCAGGTAAAAAAAAATACGCTTGAGTCGATTTCATTGATCCAAGTATAATACGTTTCTTCATCGCCTGCTTAGCGTAGGACCCCTAAGCCCCATTGGCGGTTACTTGCATGAATTTTCATTCTGGAAATTCGTATTGACTGACCCCCTCAGCCCGTGGCCAAGCCCATCTTGATGCTTTTCTCCCGCTTCAACAAAAAAGATTGATACCTAAATCACCATACTTAGGAATTGTAGAATGGCTTATAATGAAGTCAGATCTTCGTAGTATGTGTATAGGAAAGAAATCAACAGGATAGATCGGCGAAATCCAGTACTGCACAATCGAAAAGAACAGCGTGTACCCTTTTTCTATCACTAATAGTTATATGATCTTCACTACGCCGAACAAAGTCAGTTAAACTTGGACTCTACAAATACTCAGACAAAGAAATCTGATGACGGAGTAAGTACGTATAGCACCAGCACTACTTCTAGTTGTACAGAGCGTTTTCTTAGCGGGTGAAACATCGAAGAAATCCTATCAGCCACTACCTCTTCCACTTAGTTAACCTCACTTCACAAGCGTCAAGTAGTGTCTACTAACTATCAATTCAATTGATAGATCTTGACTTCATTTATTGCATCCTTCGGAAGGATCAATATCCATTGAATAGTTTGTTATACGTACCCCGCATGGTTACAGATCGAGCCCTAAGCAATATCCGTATTTCCGATCAATTATATAGTTAGCTTGTTAGTTGTCGCTGAGGAGGCGCGTCGCGGAATTATTGAGTATGATTCCAGCTATCAGACGGATCCGGATGACAAGAGTGCTAGTTCGTTCGATAGCGCTTTTCGGAGCAGCGCTTGTTCCGGCAGTGGCTTTTGGTGACCATAAGCTTCTGCTGCGCCGGTTAGAGCGCATCTTTTCCGAAACATGTCCCCACGGCTGGTACAACAGCGATGCGGGCAGCGAGGCGACAGAGTTCGGCCGAGAAGCGCGGAAAAAGCAGCTGCAAGAACTGATTGCTGACTTTGCTAAAAAGCTCGAGCTTTGCAGCTTGGAAGACCTTTTCGCCGCATTGGATAGCCGGGATGTGGCTGAGATAAAGCGGATGGACGCCAAAGCCGTTGAAGAGGACGAGGAAAGTGATGCTGATTCATATGGAAAAGACTTTGAGACCGATTTTGCATCGGACTGCGGCGTTGTCGAGCTATCCAAACTGAATACGCGGCTACACAAGCGGCTGATCACGGATCTATTGCACTTTGAGAACAGTTTGCCGAGTCCAACGGCGAGAACAGAACTAGAGATCATCCAGGATACGAAACTTAGGCTAAGAGTGATCGACCAAAAGTACGGACTTGCTTCTACTGGCGCAGAAAAGAGTGATGATGGAAGCGAGGAGCAAGAAGACGATTACGAAGCTGAAGATGAGGCGGCCGCGAGTAGACGGAAAAACTTGGCCAAGCTTCTTGTGGAAGAGCAAAGACTGTCAACTATAATCGAGAAAAGAGATCGTCGCCGCCCCCTCGGTGCGATCACGGGGTCACGCTATATGGACATATTCTTCCATCCGCTTCTCGCCGCGCGCGCCCCCGATACTTTGACGCAAGAAAATCGAGCTGCGTTTCAACAGTCGCAGTATTTTCTGTTTGTGGACTTTGCCAGGACTGCCGGGAGCATTTCCGAGTCCCATGCAGAGGAACTTCGCCGAAAAGTGACGCAAAGTTTCGTGGATCTTCTCGAGACTTTGTTTGACCGGGAACAATTTGTGGCAAGTTTGTTGCCAGAGTTAGCGTCCGTAGTCGAGAACGACGAAATCACGCCGCTGGACATATATGGGAGAGCTGCAGGCGCGGACGCAACAACTTCTCCCGCCAGACGAATCCTTCAGCAAAAGCAGACCTGGAATGGCGCTGGCGGACTGGGGGTGACTGCCTCCGGAAACCTCGATGCGCTGAGCCGTTTGCTGTCTCCTGGCACAAGCGGGTGGCTCGAGCACGAATTCCAGAAGTGGGATTTGAAGCCGTCCCGGTCGAGTCAGCCACTGCGTCACTACCTTGAGGAGCGCCTGGCCGAAGGGGGTGAGGTTTTCAACCATGTCAATTTGGAACTGAAGACGCCGGGCGGCGACTCGGAATTTCAAGATGCCTTTTTGCACAGTATGCTTGTAGAGCGACAAGCACGAGGAGACGTCGTGATGTGGCTGCATGGCGAGTCGGCGAGCTTCGAGCGCGTGAAGTGGAAGGTTACTCGGTTTTCCAGCAACGCTTCGAAGATGGCCGCGCGAGAGGAGCGCGCAGCCAGACGAGAGCAAAGAAGACAAATGAGAGCCATGACAGGTGGCAATGCGGAGGCGCGGCATTCTCGCAGTGCGCCAACGAGTTCCAGCGTCAAAAATGGCGTATGGTGGAAGTATCAAGAATTTCGCACACAAAGAATGTCCTTGTCGCGGTTTTTCGCAGAACAGCTGATTAAAGCGATTCGCAATGACAGAAAGAGGATATCCCAGAAGCCGGAACTAGGCAGAGTTTGCATACTGCCAGGGAAACGGGAGAGGAAATTCGAGTTCATGGACGCCGGGTCCACAGGCGCAAGTGGTGTGGACTCATGGCCGAACGCAAGCATGTCGTTGGACGAGATGGAGATCGGAGGTAAGCGGTTTCGCTTCTCGCCACACACTGAGTTTACAGCGTTTTCGAGACCGCTAAAAGCTGACGAAGTGGCTCAATATGGGCTCACGCAGTCCGAGAACCGTGAAGGAGTTCGTCTCGTAACCGTACCCGTTCTTACTCTTGAGGAAGTCGGCGAAGCGGATGAAATGTTGGGGCTCGCGCAGCAGGTACAAAAAAGCCTGAAAATCAGTGATGTTCATCTAGAGGAAAGAGATGGGGATCATGAACATGATGATCGAACATCGAGAGCAGAAGGGACGATGTCGGGAGCCTTCGCGCGTCGGAAAATTGTTTTAAACACGCCCGTCAGTTTCGTGGTCAAAAACTGTCGAATTTTCCCAGAGGATACAATGAGTGATTCCTTTAGAACGAGCACCAGTGTCATGTTATCCGAAAATGTTCTGCGCAATGAGGTAGTGCGGAGGTTGCTCGACAGAGAGCTGGAGGCAGAGGACGGCGACGGGGTGCTACAACAGGGCGTGTCGGATGAAGCTTCATCTGTGGCGCTGGCTGCGGATCTCGACGTCGTTGTGCATTTTGCACCGAAGGAGATTGTAATAGGCAAGGACCGTGGTAAGCTATCAGTCAAACCGTACACGACCGAAGACGTGGTAGCCGACTTGGGGAACAAACTTGAAGAAGCGAGACAAGAGCTTTCGTTGGCGTTCATCGCACATGCACCAAAGAAGCTCGCGGGTCTAGGGGTGAAAGAAATCTTCTGCATTAATGAAGCTGCTGCGCTATGCTCCGAGCGAGCGGTCGCGGTGGCAAAAGAGTCGTTTCGGATTGAGCACTTCGCCGAGCAGGTGGATCGGCTCACGCGGCGAGTGGAGCAAATTCAGGGAGGACAAAAAAGCTCTCCTTTTGTCTCCAAACATCTCGCTAGTACAAGTGACGAGTTCTGGTTTTCTTCTCCACAACAAGGAGTGGTGGGATCATCATCAGCAGGACGGATGACGAGTAGTATTCAACACTTTTCGCAGGATCCTTTGCTAAAAGAGCAGAGCTTCTGGAACGCCCCTGCAGCTCAAGCGGAAATGCGGAGAGCTTTGGACAAAGCCAACCTTGTTGGCTTGATCACGGGTGGGGCGACTGGTTCTGGTAAGCGCGACGTCGTGAGTGACGCTGGAGTGCCTGTTGATGGCGACATGAATGCGTCTGGAGAAAAGATGCGGGAGTACTTCGAACAATACCAGACCATTCTCGAAAAAATCGAGGAGAGTGGGCGGCAACTGCAAGCTGTCGCCAGGCCAGATCCGGAGAACCCAGGAGAAAAATCCAAGTTGGTGTTTCTGATGGGGCCCAGTGGGCAGGGAAAATTATGACGAAAAAAGAAAGCTAAAGAGATGTGCTGCAGCACAACAAATTCTAGCAAATCATCAGGCTCGATAATGAGAGCTATTTTTTGCAAGTGGTGACCACGTCCACTTGTTCTTATTCTCTACATTTATTCATTGTATTCACATGCCACTTTTTGAGGTATTTGAAAATGGTTTCTTATTTTAGTGATTTTATTGTGCTGCAAATCTTGATTGGCTTTCACCTTTTAGGAGAAAGTTTAGGTCCCGCGACGCTCAAAGCACTAAGTAAAAGAACCGGCTCGCTTTCACCTCTACAAACTTGGGCTTATCCCATGCAACAACTTACTTTATTGATTTTCGATCCTTCACACTTGTTTCAGTACTTACACTTATTTTTTTTTTATGTTTCAATTAATATTTGGCACTCAGTGTACTCTTGATGAAGCAAGTTGAAGTAACAGCTTTCTCCCTTTCATAACCCTCGACGCTGATCAACATGCTGGAAGCCGGGTTTATGCAGCGTGAAGACAATCGCTTGTCACGTGTGGACTACGGCAAGCTCGGGAAATTGATTGAAGCGCCCATCCGCCTGCACAACTGGGGGCTCATAGATGACTTCGGAGGAGGTGGAGCAGCTGGCGCAGGTGATGCAGGTACTAAGGCGTGCGATGCCCATCACTGGAGATTGGAAACGCCGAGCGACCCGCCTGGCGCAGACGGCGTTCGGTATTTGAAGTTGGTAGGCGTGAACGGGAAAAAGATGATATTGAGTGTGCAGACGAAGGCCGCACGGTCCTGCTATCAAGCCCATGTTGCTGGCGTGGAGTCCTCCGCGTGCGCTTTTTCCCCAGATTCCGTGGTTTACGATCTTGCGCATGGCCTTTCCGGAGGCGCTCGTACCGGCCACGGGATTCGTTCCGAGACTTCGTATTGCAAGGGATACGCAGTGTATGCTCCAGAGCAAAAGACTGGTCGTGCAATAGAGGTGCAGAATTCGATGCAGAAGCTGGTGCTTGTTGACGCGCCCGGTGTTCCTGACAACCGGATGGTGGATGCGTTCACCTTTATACCGCAGTGGACCGTGGACGACGCCTTCTCCGCCGAACTTGGCCAGCTTCACCGCATTGTCTTCGTTGCGGGGTACGACTCGTTTCTGTCGACTGCACGCGCATCTGGCGGAAAGGAGGGTGAGCTCTCCGATCTGTGGCAACTGCTCACTGATTTCGCGAATCGCTTCGAATTTTTTCGGGGACCAATGCAGGAAGCGCAAAAACGACTGGTGCAGGAACGTTTTTTGTTGGTGTTTACTGGGGCACCCAGCGTGGATGACGCCAGGCGCATGTATGAAGCCAAGAAATATGAATTTTTCAATTTACGAGACCGGCCGAAAGCAAAGTCCCCGAGCTTCCTCCGCGAGGATGATCCGATGTACGAGATCAAGAAAACGGAAAACGAGACAGCGTGGCAATTTCGGAACTTTGCAGAGTTGGTGCCCATGACAGCGATCCCTCAGCGAGAAGGAGAAGAAATGACGGAGCAGACCTTAGAGATTGTGGGAAAGCTGACGGCGGCTGCAACGGGCAACTATCGCGAACTCGTCGACCACGAGGGCCAGGGCGAGCACACCATCTTCAGCGGTGAAGGAGCGAGAACTGGCGCGCCTACGGCGGCTGACGTGTACTTAGAACAACAGTATCGAAAGCGTCTCTTCACCGATGCGCGGACGGGCTATGGCAATCTGGAGATTGCCAATAATCTTCGCGCCGTGCTACGCGAAGTCTGGAAGAAGATCTTTAGTCCGAGTAGAAGATCCACGAAGGAGTCCCTGAAACAAAGAGCAGGCCTGGGAGATGGTGCAAAAGAAGGAGATGAGCATATGGATGACGGGTTGAATTTGGACGATGCTGGTGACATTCTTGCCAAGGAGCAGCGTACCGAAAAGGAGTACTACGACCTCTTCGTTGGCCCGAGCTTGCCAGTCATGCGGACGGAGCTAGATAAGCTCAAGGAGGCCCTTGCCAAAGTAGTCGAGGAAGCTGGTCAGAACCCCGATACGCAGCTGCACGTTGCGGGAAAGAAATTAGAAGAGCTGGAGAAAATGATGCTTACAAAGAAGGAGGTTCTCGACGATGCAAAAGTTGCTTATCAGAAGCAGGCGGACGACACGAGTGAGTGGGCTCAGACGAAAGTGTACGACCAGCACGTCATAATTCCAAAAAACGAAGCGGCTTGGGATGAACACTATTGCTTGGCTATGTACGACGCAGAATACCAGACACAGTGTGCAAAGGAGTTCAAACGGTACTACAAAAATACTTCAAGAAGTTGTATGAAAAATAGAACGTCTTTTCCTTGTCTGATTATGCTTAAGTATTTTTTGTTAGCACCCACGTATTTCCTCATCCGAGTTAGTTCTTAGAACATGCTCCTGAAATGATCTTGATCTTCGTCGTACCTCTATCAGGGAGCGCTTTCAGGATGCATCGGAGCTTCTTTGGGGGCAACATGAGGGAAAGTGGACTTTGGGTCAGATGATCGAGGCTGAAGAGTGGCCCCAGAAGAACATAAGCAAGACAGAACCCTATAAGGTGACGATGCGAGTGCCGATAAATGCCAAGATCCTATTCGACGTGCGAAACATGCCAAAAGGCCCGGACGGGGTGAGCAAGATCACGTTTGGTGGGGAGGGCAGTATCGACGAATTCAGAAAGTTTTTTTCTGACGACAACACTCCTTCCGGAAGCAATAGTACTATCGACAAGGGGTCGGGCACGACGCACCGCGAGTGTAGGGTTGAATGTAGCGCAAGCGTCAATATTACGGAAATGAGCATCGATCCAAACGATCCTTCCAGAGCACTAATCAAGGTCTTACGCTTTACATTTACGATCAGTAAATCACAACAGCCCTTCTATGTAATGTTTTTTGCGAAACAACTCTTGGTGGTGCCTTCGTAAAGACGAGTTTTGTCTCTTGTCAACAAATAACAAGTGAAGACAGGCTTCGGGTCAATTATAGATAGAGGATGCAAACAAACGACCTTCAACAATCAGGTGTCTGTGGAGTACAGGAAAGGTATGAAGCGTAGCGACCTGCCGTACATGATGGTGGAAATGATGGCACTTCAGATGGACAAGCAGCAGGGAAGATACATCCAGAAACAGGCTGACCTGAATGACACCAAGGAAGCGATATATGGTACTTCGTTCTACAGACATCAAATATTCTTTCTCTATTGGATTAACATTCTCATCTTGCAGCAGGAAGAAGATCATGATTAAGGATCCCTGAGTCAGATTCGGACCAAGTTCAATTGTTTTACCTCATCGGTAGCAGCTTCGTGAGATGCATTGCGTGAGATACAAACAAGCAAACCAGGAGAATTATCCCTTCGATGATTTTTCTATACTTTGATTCAGAGGACTTGATCAAACAATATGTCCACAACCTATACAGGACCCAATGGCCTCCTAGACGAACATACTCGGGCGACAGAGGAGTATGCGAAGCAGAAGAAACTGGTGGAGGCACTGAAAAATGGCAGTAAGGATGCAGTTGAAAAAGCGATCCAAGAGAAAACTCAGTATTTGGAAGGGGAGATTCAAAAATTCAAGGAGCACGAGATTGCTGCAGAACGGCAACTGGTTCGGCGTGCGTTTGCGGTTTTGGCGTATGGCAGGCACATGAATGCAGCTGCGAAGTTTTTGAGGCGAGCAGCGGCTTTTATCCCTGTGGCTGCACCAAAATTCGGGAACAGAGCCGATATCACCCGGGAGTTGAGGAACGTGGAAATCGTAAAAGCACGGCAAAAGCGAGACCGTGACGCTGAGGCTTGGCAGGCAGATTCAACAAGATATAGTGCGCACGTTGCTGGATTCAAAAAAGCTGCGCAACAAGTGATAGGCGAATACTACAAAAGCGAGGCTTTAGCGAAGGGCTATGCCGCCTTGATTGAAAAAGAAGAGGAGGAGCAGCACCTCACGACGTTGATGGGCGTGACGCCTGCACGCCTCGGGAAGCACTGGGCGTTCATGCGCCAGCTCGCGAACGAGAAACGCGCGTTGTGGGAAGGCGTCCGCAACATCGAAGTCAGGCTGGCTGCGGCTCGTAGAGAGCGGCAACAGCAGGCAGCACACAACGAGAAGCTAGTGAAGGAAAGCATGAACCGCATCGGCAAACTGGAGGAAGCCGTGGCAGAGCTTTCAGCGCGCTTTGCAAACATGGAATACAACGTGAATACAGACGTCGAAAACGTCCGGGCAGAATTCCAGGAGCAAGTTGCGGCGTTAGAGGAGGATATGGAGGAACTGAAAGCAAACTTGGGGAGCGGAATCGCGAGTAGCGAACAGGCAGAGAATTCAGGTAGCGCTGCCGTGGACGAGCTGCGAGAGGAGGTCGAACAGCTTCGAGTGCAGCTGTTGCAGGCACTGGAGACGAGTGGGACCAATGATTCAGCGAAGTCGTTCTCAGTCGTAGGACACAAGCAACAAACTCCCACCACTGCAGCAACTTCAACTGGTGCTACTCCTCCTGTAAGCACAGATCAGGAGCCCAGTGGTCTAGAACCTGGTCAGCCTGGTGCTGTTGAAGTTCTTCAAGTACACCGGTCAGATGTGCATGGTGAAGTGGGTATCCTGCGGAGTCAGATGGCGCAGCTGAAGGGAGTACTCTACGGCTTTCAGTCTCAACTTGTTGATCTGGAAGCTACTTTTGACAAAAGAATGCAAACGCTGGCATTTGAAGTCAGCGAACACCAGGAGCGACTGCGAATGGACCTCCTCCAGTACATTAAAGTAGTGGTGAAAAGTGAAGTGGCAAGCAGTATGGACCACCTGTTGAGACATGGTGGAGGGGGACAGTCACTGTCCCCTGAGGCAGCTGACCCGCCTACACAAGTAACTGCTTCTCCTGCAGGGGCAGATGGGCGCGGTCCAGAACATAATATGGATGTCGATGCAGGACAACAGCGTCCTGCCTCCGGACATGAGTTACCCCAGAACACTGCTGCGCAACCGGCGACACCGCCTGGACGCGGAAGTGTGTCATATACTGGTGGGAGACTCGACGAGAAAGGAGACACACCAGCAAGCAGTGGGGGCGCAGCTAGCTCCGCAGGAACCCCCCTTGCTGAGCAGGGAAAGCAGGGTGTGGCAAGCCGCTTACGAAATCGAATATCGAGTGCTTTGAACTTCGCGGAGTGAAGTTCATAGAGCCTCATGGCGAACCAGCGGAAATGAATGCAGGTTTTCCTTCGTTCTTCGTCTTCCATCGTTTCGAATGAATGAGTGAACATTCATCTTGATCACGGGCCAATATCGTGCGCCACGACGACCGCGCGATTGGAGCAACTGCGTAACTGGTACGTCAGTTGCCAAAAAAGCGGAGCAGCATTTAAGTACAACACTGCGTTTACCGTTGCTGCGATTCAGCGCAAATTTTTTGGATTATTATTGAACGAAGGTGCTTTTTTCTGTCATGAATCTCCTCCTTGTGAAATGTATGATGAGACTTGTGGCTCACAGCTTCCCGGTGAAAAATTTGTATTCGGACTGCACCACTTACACTTTTTTTACAGAAGACGACTATCTACGTCTCTCTTTCAGAGCATTCCCAACTACCTGCAATGAAGCACTGAGCAACCCAGAAAATTGGTGTACCTTGATACCTGTTTCGTGCTGTTAGGAAGGTGCCCTGTGCAATAACACTGGGACACATTTCCATGTTGAGAGTAAGTTTGCCTGGTCTGTAAGTTCGTGAAAAGATGAATAATATTGAGAGTGGGGCTCTTGCGGATGAGAGAACACTGATTTCCAACTCTTCCCTGCGGGTCGAGTGTTGCCTCAGAAACTCAACATGATGAGCGAGTAATGGATGCACTGAACAAAACATTCGGTTATTCTGGAAGGTAACCGCACTCCCGTATCAGCTTTCATCTTGTTGACGATGTCGGATATCGCCCATCTTGTCTGTCCATTATTCTAAATATCGTCAGATGAGAAGCGATGCTAGAAACACGAACGACAGCAACTTCTGCCGATGGTGAAGCCGCTCCTGACGAGGCAGTTTTTGAGTACCATCGAGCAACAATCCTTGCTGATGAGAATCTGAGACATGTACAAAATGGTCAAGAATTAAGAGACGCACTTCATTCGTTGTCTTTGGAGTTAACAGAGGCAGATGCTCATGCTACTTCTAAAGAACAAGAAGTTGGGGGGCCAATTATGGCTTGCAAGACAGTCAATATCTCCTAGCAGTCATCTTATTTACTACAAATTGTTTGTCGTGATTTCATTTGATCAAGCAAGGAAAAAAAGATATGGGGACAAGAAGCAAGTGGGCTAGTAAGTATGGCAAGATCTTCTAAACCTAGAATAAATTCTGTCTTTTCGCAGATAACATTTTCGAACGAGCACCCAAGCCCGCTCTTCGAGCCGAACCCTTGGAAGAAGGACGTCTCCACAGATGGAGTGAAGATCGGGAGGCACTATCGCTACGCCATTCGCACTGAAGACGTGCTCGTTCAAGCATTAGAGTACGCTTGCGACAAAGAACCAAGTTTTGTTTGGACTTATCTTCGGAATACTACTAACTCCAATAATACTACCAACAAAAGGTGGAGCAGCTGCAGTTGTAATGCCGAGGTTTTGCCCAGCCTCTACCTTGGCGGTTTCAAATGTGTGGGGAACCTAGGATTCCTAAAAGAAAACGGCATCTCCGCGATCCTAAACACCGCAGCTGATCTTGGTGGAGTTTTTGTTCAATATCCGAGATATGTCGAGGCAGCGAAAAGTATCGACTTCGGAAGTAACAGGAGGATCGATTTCCTCAGCGTTTCGTGGATTGACTCTGCGAAACAGGTTCTGACACGGGACGACTTGGAGACGTGCTTGCGTTTCATCGACGCAAACTTGTCGAAAGGCAGATCTGTACTCGTGCACTGCGCTCAGGGCCGGTCGCGGTCGTCAGCGGTCGTGGTAGCGTACTTGGCAGCGAAGTTGCAGATTAGCATCAGGGAAGCACTTCGCCAAGTGCAAGCAAAGCGGAGAATGGCGCAACCGAATCCTAATTTTATTGACCAGCTCCAGAGCTTCGAAGTGCAGGACGAACTTTTCAGAGACTTCAACTTTTTAGATGCATGGCACTCAAATGGCACATTATAAGTCATTCGTATCATGATCTTACGGCTAAGACTAGATTATGATTGGTGGTAAGCTTCTCCTTTTGTTTCGTCGGGGCTCAAGTGCGGACTCACTGAAAAAAAGCACTGGGTCATTCTAGTTTTCTGAATACTTCCACAGTTTGATGCGATGCATAGTTACACCGGGCAAAGTCCAAGTTGATTCTTTCTCTTGTCATTATGGATTCTTTCTCTTGTCAATAGACCGCCGAACGTCGTTTGTCCTTCAAGAAGCATCATTTTGATTAGTTAAGCTTTTCTAGATCGTTCGGAGCATCTCGGTCTCGCTCCTCTTCTTCCAGTAACTACGGGCGCGCTTTGATACATAGTAGAAGGATCTGCACCAAAAGGAGGTGGACTTAGTCCAAGGATTAGAGACGACGAAGGCGTAGTAGACTTCTATTTATTACTTAGTACAGGACTCATTTGATCAGCTAGGGCTTATCGTCGTTATTTTCTTTTAACATCCTAACAACAACTGTCACTTTGGTCAAGATCCTCTTGTCGTAGAAGATCACATGAGAGACTTATCATGATAAATAAGAGAGACCACCACCGCAATATTTGCGAGATTGAGGGAAGAAAGCATGAGCCAAAAGATCCAATCAAAGATCAAATGTCCGGTCGAGATCCAACATTCTTGTGCGGCAGCAACCACTAAAGATCTCAAGTTTTTTTGCCTCTGTCATTTTAAGACAGGGATAAGATCAGATGAGTATAGCTTGATTCTTGTAAAAGTTGAAGTGCGTCCAGAACTGCTATAATGCAATAGATACTGTCTTTCAGATGACTATGTTGTATTACTACTTGCTGTTTGATGATTTTCATGAAACGACTTACGCACACCACTTCAGGTATAGGAGCCTTTAGTTTTTTGTGGCCGTGCCTATTAATAGACTGAATAAGAAAATCGACAAGGATTCTGAAGCTCAATTGTTATGTGCAGAATCTACTCAACAATGAATCGAAAGTCATATGATACGACTGTGATGGTAGTCCTGTTTGATCGACCCACGAAGCTTTGATTGATGTTAGTTGTGGGATCGACTGATAGGAGAGTGTCTACGCACCTCCTTAGCTTGTTGTATATTGCAGTCTGCTTGGCGTTTATTGTCAATCTTCAGACTTGTTTGTGTGTCTTGTACAATTCACTGTTTCTCTTGTTTGGCACTACCTGTTAGGTACTACAACTACAGATTTTCAGCCCCTTAAGATACAGCAATTACGAGGGCATCAAAATCCCCAACCCACGCATGAGCTACATAATTCTTCCTCCCTTCTACCAGTAATTATTTCCCATTCGCATTCATTTGAGAAATTTATTTGATTACAAAAACAAGAAATTTGGGTCAGTTATGAGTAGAAGTTCTAATCCCCATTCCCTTAAATTTTCTGCCCTTATTCATTCTTTTCATTATTCAGTCCTTCTCTCATTTTCTCTTTGGTGTTTCAGGTAATGCTTGTATCTTAATGGTTTTATTGATTATCCACTGATTCTTTTTGTTTATAATTTGTTACAACATATCCATCGTACCGTGCGCCTCTGTCGCGAGCAAAAACGAGCGGGAACTGTTCATGCTAATACAGGAAAGGCGAGTCTCCCGCGTGTGTGCATTTGCCCACGCAAAAATGTGTCTCTCCCCGATGAAGATGAAGCTGGTGAGCCTTTTGGCAGTGGCATTCTCGTCGACGGGTTGTGCGCTGGGACCGCGGCCGAGTGTCAGCGAGATCTTGGCGCGTATTGAGCAGCTGGATGAGACACAACCAAGAGTGACCGAAGAGCTTTGGCGTAGTTGGCGTAAGAAAGCTGGACAAGCCTCCGTAGGAAGCGTCACAGAGGGAGTGTTGGATGAGGGGGAGGACGAGGACGATGCTGATATTGACGAGAGAGGCCAAGAAAATGTTGAGGTGTCCGGACCGTTTCAGGGAACCTCACCCTCGGGAAAAGGCCATCAAGGGTCGTGGAAAAACTTCGTTGCGACCGTCTGGGGGGACGACGCGCAGAGGGCTCGTCGTGGCGCTGGAGAAGATGTTGGCACAGAGGAGGAGGAGGACTCTTTTCTGTACCCGGGAGACATGGACTTTTTGCTCGCGTACTTACATGGTGGTGAAAAGCATCACGCGCTTTTCGAGTCCTCGTTGCAAGGTCGGGAAAGAGAGGAGCTCCAAGCCTCCGTCTCAAGACTCGGATTAGTGAACCTCTCCACCAAAAGTTCCTTGTTTTCTTGGAACGACGAAAAGATTCCGGAGGCCTATCTTGATCATGGCGCCCAGAAATTGCAGTTCTTGCCCACCGTTCCTGTGCTCCCCGAAGGCGTTGCTGGAGAGGTGGACGACTATCCTACAAGTCCGACTGAAGTAAAGATCTTTCGTGGCTCCGGGGCGTCCGTGTCCATGAGTACTGGAGTTGCACTGGCCGCTTTGGAGGCACACCTGGGATTCTTCAATCCGGCACACCAGAAACAAACTGAAGAGTCTGATCCTCGAATCTGGAAATCATTGTTGAAGCATTTGGTTACGCGACCTTTCGCGCGCCGCTTATTTTTCGCTTTCTGCAAAAGGGTAGACTGCGCTTCCTCTACGTCTGCACGTGTTTTCGGGTTTCCGCACTTTCTTAAGCGGTTCGACGCTGTCACCACGACCTTGCGGAAGAAACTCTTGACCAGTGCAGACGCGCGTACACAACAGGCAACGAAGCGACTTTCTGGAATGGAAGGTGAACAGGAGATGAAGGGTACTCTTCTTTCTCTCTCTGAAGCTGCCCAGAAGAAGCTCGAGCGCGTGAATGTAATGAATGCCCACACAAAGAGCGCTAGGAAAGACCTTTGCGAGGTGCTCTTCGAGGCGCTCAGTGTCACTGCGACGCCTGCACAAGAGCCTGGTACAGGACCGCGAGAGAGCCTGTCCCGCTCGCCTGAAAACGTGTTGAGTGGAGGCGAAGCTCGATGCTTCGACAGTGTTGAAGGAGGGACGATTTGGGACCCGGTATTCCAGGACTTCGAGTCGGTCTCGGCGAGAGAAGAGCTGCAGATGCTAAAACTTCTTTGGGAGCACCATATAGCGCCATTTATTTGCTCGGGGGCAGAGCGTTCGCCCCCTCAATTCTTCAGTTTCCTGAATGGTGAAAGCATTTTGTTTTGCCCTAGCAAAGGAGAACGAGTTCCCATTCGAATGCAAGCGCCCGCTTTTCCTCCAGAGTTGATGCGGATGTTGTGGCTGCGGACGGTCCTTCGCCTGGATAGCAACAAGAAAGCTCAAGCACGAGATGAAGAAGGAGCGACTGCTGATGGAGGAGAGGTAGCCGTGATGAATCCTGCGGCAGAAACAACCACTGAAGAGGAGCACGGGGATGCTCTTGCCTGTCGTGGCGTTCTAGGGCGACACAAAGAGATTGGAAAAGCCATTCTGATGGCGAAGTTGCCTAGAACTGTACTGACGGAGCAGTCCACGACTCGAGGCTCAAGATCGCCTCCCGCGGGCCATGGAAAAGCTGCTGTTCGTGGCATCTTGTCAAGGGGAGCTCCCTTGGTGAAACTTCCTGGAGAAAGCGCTGGGAGCGAGGTCGTCAGTTACCTGAAGACTGCTTTCCGCAATCTGCTGGCGAGATTCGCTGCACAGCGGATGTTGGTTTCGCCTGAGCGCGGTGAAAGCATTCAGGATCCTGTTGACGTCGACGCCGCTTCCTCAGGCTCCACTTTCATGTTCGCGATGCCGGCTCTGCTTCAGTCTCGACCGCATTTGTACGGCCTACTCACGTTGGAAATCAGACTGAGGGAGGACGATTTTTTGCATGACAGAAAGCTGCGCGATCTCTTGTCTGAGGAAGGCCTTCTGCTGCATGAGGAGCAAGCTGTCGCGGCTGAGTTCGATTTGGATTCGCCGGATGAACATGTTGAAAGGGGAGAGAACCTTTCGGTCGACCAGGTGGATGACTCCTTGTTTAAGAAGGTGCTGGAGAAGGGCCTTCCGCCACAAGAGATCTTTCTGAGTGTGGACGTAGCTGCCAGATTGCACTTTTCGGGGCGGCGGGATCCAACTACTCAACAAGTGCAACAACACGCTTCTGCAGCGGCCGGTGAACGTCGCCAAGGCCATGACCACGTCGACGCTGGTGACCTAGTCGAGGGAGACGACCGAATCTTGTCTGAGCGTTTTCTGGATCGGATTGAGAAAGAGGTGCAAGAACACATTGAGAAGTACCTGCTTCCTCAGGGTCCGAAAACGGAGGCAACAGGGCGCGAAACACAGAAAGGTTCTAAAACTCTCATTGATCAAGGTGGAGCAAGCGAAGCCGCCACCCGCCTGGTGGGCCGTTATCTGCGAGAAAACTTTCACTCGTCGACGCCTGCGTCCGCGAACTTGAGTGCGAAGTTGCCCGTCGCAGCGAAGCCCGACGGAACAATCGAGTACAGCGCCGAGACTTACCAACTGCACCTCCGAAAAGAAGTCGTTGTCCAGGAGAGGCGCGGCGTGGAGGTGCGCGTCGACTCGCGTTTTTCTTCGGCTCTGGTTCTTTTCGTCTGCGGAAAGCTCGGTGAGTACTTTGCAAGCACTAGCGCGAGGTTTCCACAAATGGGGAAGGCTGCCGAGAAAGATACTGTATCTTTGATTCAATCGTGGATCGAGAATCTTGTTGATTCGTCGAGTCTTCCGGCAAACGAAGCCTTAGGACCAAGCGCAGACAGGAGGGCAAATCCAGACGGAGCGCCGCACTACCTCGAGGATTCTCTCACCAAGACGTCGGGCGCTTTGCAGATAGTGAAGCGCTATGTACAGGAAAGTTTTGAGAAAAGTTTCCTTGTGGGGGAAACGCGCAGTCACCAGAATATGAAATTGGGCGCAGAAGTGGGACCTGCAGACCAAGAGGTAACTCATGATTCGGGAGAGCGCGCAGGGACTGCGCAAACAATGAATCCTGTGCCACCCGCGGAGCTTATCGAAAACATTACCACGGAAGGAGCGGAGATGAGTTTGCGATCCACGAAGGCGTTCGAAGAGGAAATCGATGCTGTTTATCAGAAGGCAGCTATGCAGCCCGGTCAGCGCGAGGAAGAGCGGCTTGTAGCGGCCCTTACTGGTGGGAGGGTCTACAGAAAAGGGGAGAGAAATGATCATGGCGCCCCATCGGGTCCTACGCATCAGGCCTCCCCTCCACCACAAGAAGAAGAAGAAGAAGAACACCTCCTTCCGTCCGCCGACAAAATGCAGGCTCTCCGAGACGCTATTATTCACTTGGTAAAACTCCGTGCAAACAGTCTGAAAACTGGAAAAGATGCAACTCTCTTCGCTAAGCTGCGCCGTTATTTCCAAAGCTATGCGGAAGAACTGATGCGATTTTGGTATGAGTACGGGAGACCACTTTACGACGTGAGCGACTATGTGGTAAAGGCGTTGGCTGATTCCAGTCTCCTCGAGAAACAGGAGAACTGGAGCAACGTAG